TCTTTTACTGTATAAAACAAAACAGATCCCTCTGGTATCTGATGGCCAGAACATGACTGATTAATAATGTTTAATACCTGGTAGTTTTAAAGCCAGGAGAAGACAGAGAAATGGAATGGATGCAGAGACCCTTGTCCAGCAGGCCGAGGCAAAGAGGAAGTCACAAAAGCAGCAAAATCAGGGAGCTGGACGGGACAGATTGGATTTGTCTTCAGTGTGGAAGGGATTGCCTCCTCAGCCACACTAGACGCTGCTCCAAGTCCTCCATACAGAGCACGTTACCATAGTCTTTCGACACTGAAGGATGCCTAACTAACAATATATATATTTGTTCATCAAAAAGTATATGTTACAACTTTAAAAACATAAAAAGTATTTTGCACATATTTTAATTTTTTGAAATTGCTGTCAAAGGTAAGTATAAATTGTTTGTTGTTTAGTCATTTAGTCATGTCCGACTCTTCATGACCCCATTGGCCAGAGCACGCCAGGCCCTCCTGTCTTCCACCGCCTCCCGGAGTTGGATCAAATTCATGTTGATAGCTTTGATGACACTGTCCAACCATCTCATCCTTTGTCGTCCCCTTCTCCTCTTGCCTCCACACTTTCCCAGCATCAGGGTCTTTTCCAGTGAGTCTTCTCTTCTCATGAGATGGCCAATGTATTGGAGCCTCCGTTTCAGGATCTGTCCTTCCAGTGAGCACTCAGGATTGATTTCCTTCAAAATGGATAGGTTTGTTCTCTTTGCAGTCCAGAAGACTCTCAAAAGTCTCCTCCAGCACCATAATTCAAAAGCATCAATTCTTCGGCAGTCAGCTTTCTTTATGGTCCAGCTCTCACTTCCATACATCACTACAGGAAAAACCATAGCTTTGACTATGCAGACTTTTGTTGGCAAGGTGATGTCTTTGCTTTTTAAGATGCTGTCAAGGTTTGTCATCTCTTTCCTCCCAAGTATACATACTTTGGTGTTATTCAATCAGTTTTTACATATACTGTACATACACCAAGTATACATACTTTGGTGTTATTCAATGTTTTTACACATACATCCAGTGTTGCAGTGGCAACCTGCTCCATCTCATCTAATATCTAAGTACATCTTCAAACAAATTTAGTGATAGCCTATGACTGGAAGAGGAAAATTCTTAACCAATATGAGCATCTGAGTGTTACAGCACAAACTTCTCTCACTTCTGAGATTACGCACATCAAATTAGTTCAGAGATTCGTCTTCAGGATGTAAGTGCAGGATTCTTTTTGATGTCACCAGCATTGAATGTCAGTTACCTCTCTACCCCATGAACATGCTTTCAGCCCTGACTATGGGCTATCCTCCCAAATATCCATTTCTAGCTCTATTTTCTCAAAATGGCCATTCACAGCCCAAGGTAATTATGAAGCTGGAGACCTGATCTCTTTTTACCATTATGACAGGAGATGAGGCCTCTGCCATTGTGCTTCAAGAGCAGCCGCTTGTGCTCAAGACAGATTGTGATCCCTGCCATTTTCTCTGTTAACCCTGAGCACTCTAACTAAAATAAAGTTGCAGAATTTTGAATTGCTGGCAAAATTCCTTTTGTTATGCAGTAGAAATATACAGACTCACAGAGTAGAATAGCTACAAGTTCCCCAGAGTCCACCCCTTTTTCATTAACTGGCACTTAAACTCTCAATAACTCTGAGATTTTTGTAGGAAAAAGAATAAAAATGCTTAATTACTTACAGTTGCAAACAGATCAACAACAACAAACAACTGACATCAACCTAGAAAATACAAATGCGAAAATAAGTGATAGCTTTATAGACCACTAAAAATCATCACACAATACACAAGCTTTCGTGGATTAAAGCACCACTTCATCAGCTTTGTACCAGTGTGAAGAAAGTCCAAAAGTTCATGGCAAGATGGATTTTGCCGGAACATCTCTCTCCGATATAAGTCAGGAAATAGTGTGGTTGCTGTTTTATGGTTACAGCTGAGGCCAGTTAATGAAAAAGGGGTGGACTCTGTGGATCGGGTGTAACTCCCAGTTTTTCACACAAAGAAGCACAGGCAAGGAAAGAGGAATACAATGGAACAGTATACTGTAACATTATATGTGTTGCGGTGAATCAAACACTGGACCAGGTAGGCCTGTGGTCTGCTCAAGTGGAGGGCTCCTCCCACCATCATCCCCTCTCGGCCTTGTGTCTGTGAGGAATGATGCCTGGAATGGTGAACCCTTCAGGTCTCTGTGGCCAGAAGCAAACAGTCATTTTCATTTGCATGACCAAACTAAGGTAGGAAAGAGTCTTTTCTGCCTCCTGGGGAGCGCAGTTCTCTGTGGTCATCTTTGCTGCGGCTGGTGGCCATGTTTTTGAGATAAACCTCTTTCCTAGAGACAAAGTAAGTTTGTTTGTTGTTTTGACTTACACACTGCCCCAAAATGTTAAAGCACTCTCTGGGAGGTTTACAACACAAGTATGCACTTTGCCCCCCCCCCAGAAGGTTACTCAGTTTAGGGACCTCAGAAGGATGGAAGGCTGAGTCCCACCTGAGCCAGCTACCTGGATCTATCAAGATCAAACTCAGGTCATGAGCAGAGAGGCCTGCCTGTGTGTGAGTGTGTTGGTCCCATCCCATCCAATTTATAGTGACCCTGACAGGGTGTTCAAGGTGAGATATTTAAGGAGCCTTGAGCAAGGTCCCCAGAGCAGACCAAAGAAGCAGGGAAGGGTAAGCCACTTCTGAGTACTCTCAACCTGCGATACCCTGAAAAGGGTCGCCATAAATCCTAATTAACTTGATGGCTCATTATTCCTATAGTGAGTTTCCATAGCTGAGTAGAGATTGGAACTCAGGTCTCCTTGCCTATTATCACTCAGTCCACCACTACACCACACATAAAACAATAATTTTAAAACAGATAAATAGGCAACGTCGCTGCCCTCTCCCGCCCTTAGGAGTCATGTCGTTGTCGTCGTCCGGTCCAAAGCTCCCCCACCCCCGAGGGACGCAGCTGCTTTTCTCCTTTCTGGAACTTCTCCCTCTGCGGGGAAAAGGGCGAGGGGCGGAGGGGGAAGGCGAAAGGCGCGAAGACCGAGTAGCTGCGCCAGCCAGCCGCAGCCCCCCCAGTCCGGCACCGCCACCGCCTATCGCTTTGCCAGCGGCGGCGTAGCGGCGGTCTCTGGGCGAGAGAGCCCACTCTCTGGAGGCTCGGAGGAACATCGCAGGCGCGTCAACGGGTGGAAGTTTCCCCACACGCCCCCATAAGGCTTCATTGCAAAACGAACCAGGGGAGGTGAGGGGGGGGGCAGGCCCGGGGATGAAGTCTGCGAGGCGGGAGTTTCCCTCGTAGACCCTTGTGAGCGCTGAGAAAGGGAGCCCGGTTTCCCGGAACTGCCTCGCTCTTATAAAAAGGAAGAGCCCAAGAGACGAAGCCCGGCAGAGGGACGAGGGCGCTCGGTTGGGCTTCCCCGAATCGCATCCCTTAACGTGCTGTCTTCTTCTACGGGACTCTGATCCGGATTGGCCTGCCCGTGTCAAGGGATTTTATCCGAGCGGCGGATGGTACTACTCTCTCGGATCATGCACCCGTGTCTTTTCTTCCTCGTCGCCTGGAGTGCCGGGGGTGTGGTGAAAGGTAAGGGCGGGAAACGTGGTCCTTAAAAGTGTTTTCAGAGCCGACCTCTTCTTCTCATCGCTGTCGGCGATTTCACCACTGAAAGAGGCTTGACGTCGTTTTCCGCTTCGAAATCTTAATATACCCTGTTTCCCGGGTGGGTAGCTGATGGGGAGTCGCCCCACTCTTTTCCGAACCGTGAGAACGTGGAGCGTGTATACAAGGCCCTCCATGAGTAGCCAGTTCGCCCCCTCAGCACGAAACAAAACGCCTCGACCCGGTCTTCCTAGAGCAAAAGTGATCCCAGCAGGGAGTTTCTGTGGGGAAGACCTAATGTTTACCTGGGCGATCTTGTCAGCCCTGTCCCTAATCGCTAGGACTTGAGAAATGCACTCTGCTTTTGCTCAAAGGTATCATATTTACTTCTACTTCACAAAAAGCTGTCAAGTCCTGACACAAAATAAGCCCTCCCTCAAACGCTGGCTTATGTGCTACCTTAAAATTGCAATTTACTTTTTTTAAGGGGAAAAAAATCTTTTCTTTCTGGAAAAAGATTTTATTATTTCCCCAACCCCCCCCCCCAGTCTTAAAGAAAGCTTAGAAATGTGATGTCAATGCCTTGCAGCTGAAACAAAACAAATCAAAATAGCGGGGAAATGCCCAGGATGTCCATGGGCATTTCCCCAATCAACAAAGATGAAAAGGTCTTACCCTAATATTCCTCAGAACTAAACTCCATCCCACACCACTTAAATTCTTGGGAAAAACACTGCCTGGCTGATAGACACTTGAGTTATCATCCAGGCAGTGTTTTTCCAGAGATTTGAAGTGGTGTGGGATGGAGTTTGTAATGCACAGTTTTTTAAAATTAGCCTTCAAAGATGTAGCCATGTTACCCTGTACAAGCAAATCGGGGGGAAAGGAATACAGTATAGAGGTGCCTTAAAGACTAACTGCTGTATATTATAACATAAGCTTTGGTGGATCGAGGCCAGTTCCTTAAACTTTAGAGTGAGACTCTATGGCTGTCATATTTATAGATGGGTCCAGGACTATGTGGAGATACAGATAATGGGCAAAGTGACAGCGGTTTGTTACTAAAGAAATAGGACTATAAACGAATTCAGTTCTCAGGGCATGATTCTGCAAGGTAACAATGGCATTGCAGATTAAATTTGCGAACTGTGGGAATCAATACAGGATTTCATACTTGGTAATAAGTTAGGTGGTATAGTAATTAGGAAATATGGTGCTGGAGGGGAGCTTCGCAGTTACCCTGGACCACCAGAAAAATGAACAAGTGGGTCCTAGAGCAAATGAGGCATAGACTATCTCTGGAGGCAAAAATGACAAAAATGGGCTTGTCTTATTTGGGGCAGATCATGAGAAGGCAAGCTTCAGTGGAAAAGACAGTAATGCTGGGAAAGGTTGAAGGCAATGGGAAAAGAAGAAGGCCAAGTAGAAGATGGAATGGCTCTTTAAAGGAACTACAGGCTTCAGTTTACAAGAGCTCAGCGGGATTGTTGAGGACATGACATTTAGGAGATGGCTAACAACTCTGAGATGACTTGACAGCATGTAACAGTAACTGAGTTACATACCCTTGATTGGTATTGAAGCCTTTTGAGCGGGTCTCCAGCATAAATACCTTATCTCAGCTGTTTCTCTATCAAGTCTAATATAGTTCTGTAGTGGTTTCCCCCCCAAAGTTACTCACTCACTCTCAAGAGTGTCCAGGTAAAATGAAATATTCTAAAAGAGGTTTTTTGTGTGTGGCCATTTCTGATGCGAGATTTATGTCCATGAAACAGAATGAAAAGAACTTCCCGGTCAGCATTTCATTGACGTGCCTGCTGACAGTAGATAACAGTTGTGTTTTTCTAATAATAGAGAAAGAGTTTGTTCTTGTTCACTGATTCAGAAAATAAAGCAACGGGTGAATAACAGTCCTTGGCGATGAAAGAGTAGTTTTACATGAAACCTGACCTGAAAAATAAACTAACTCACTATACACAAACACTCATCTTAAAGTTGTTTAATCTTTTGTTTGAATTGTTGAATTCCATACACAAGTTTCTCTCCAATCACAGAAACATTCACTCTCCCCGATGTTAATATATGGGAGTCTAGAGGAGCTAGATTGTTGCCAAAGTGGTTCCATAATATGGAAATCATCTGCAAATGAGACAAACGCAGATATCAGATGTGTGTATTACAAGGTCAGGATCTGCTATCAGTTGCATTTAAAGTTGATTGGCAAACCTAAGTTTTCTACCTTGTAATATGTATTGATGTAACTTGGGGGGGGGGCTTTTTCATTTTATGTTTCTCCAGATGAGATATCGTCCACCTCTGGCTGTGCATATCTCCCCAAGCTGCCATTTGCTAAACTGGGGAAACATTTAAGCACGATGCAGTTGTGTCTCTAACTCCATGGGCTAAAATAAATTTATGGAGTGAGTGATTAAAGTTAGGAAAGTAGCACTGAAAGGAGAAGTCTATTCCTTTTCCCCCAGCTCTGCTGTTTTTATTTAAAATCAGAACTTATTTCCCAATAAAAATACTACAATCTTGTATCACGTGTAGTTTGCCCCCAGCAAACTATCCACCAGCAAAGGTGGATAGAACCTGTGTTCCACTGACGACCCTGTTGCACTGGGTGAGGATGAAGGGGAATTCCAGTTCAACACAGATACACAGACACGCACACATGCATGCACACACACACACACTTGGTGGTTACTCTCTCTCACCTTCCCTGTTTCTGTAATATTCAGCATACCTGTTATTGGTTGTTAAGATCAATGTGGCTTCCTTTCTAATTTGCTGGTTCTGGTTTGGGCTTTTGGTGTGTTACTCAGGACAGGGGCACCCTCTTTCCCACAGTCGCCTCACAGAAGTGCAGCATACAAACATATACAAACAGAAGCGCAGAATATGGGCAAGTGTTCAGCTGGTGCGGTTACCCACCGTTTCTGCACCACCAACAACTGTACTATGAGGCACTGTGCATTTCTTCCTCCGTTAACCATAGCGCGTGGTGGATTCCCACCTGGTGTGGCCTTTCAAGCTCAGCCCTGCCTCCCCTTGCTCAGAAACCAGCGCAGTGGGTTATACGGTGGCAGGGTGGGGTGGGGAACCACGTTCGATTGTAGGACCGTTGTTGCATTCTTCTGTTAGAATCTTGTGCTTGTTCTTGCATCTCACCCATGTGGGCAATGGCACGCCATGTGAATGGCTATGGTCGCAGTGGAAGTGGGCGGCCATAAAAAAGTAAGGGAAAGACCTGCCACTTGGTTGAAACAGGTGACTGTATGGTTGCCCTGCTGCCCAGCAAACAGGGATGCAGATACATGGCATACCATGGGATCCTCGAGTGGATCTGGGGAGCAGTACAATGTGTGGTTAATGCTGGTATGGAAAACGGCACCTTGGTCCCCAGGAGTTCTGAGTTCCTATACTGGGTGGGAGGGAGGGTACGTCATCTGGGTTGCAAATAGAGATGTGAAATGGCAGGTTAGCCCGTCAGCTGCCTGAACTGTAAAGGTACCACCTTCCTCCCATGTAGATGGCTTCAATGCTAACTTTCTGACCTGTAAGTTATTAGACAGAGTCAAGGATGAGGCCAAATCCTCATTAAGCAACAGGGGAAGGATGAGGGTTTTCAAAGAGGTAGTGGTTTCAGCCGGCTCCAGCATGTAACACGAATATAAAGTTGCCATGGTACCTTTCGTCTGTACAGTTCTGTTCATTTTTCTTTGAATGCCTTTCTTTTTGTTTTTGCGATACAAGGATTCCGAGAAGAGTTCTCAGTAGCAGCTGTAGAAATCCATGTAGTAAATTCCAGTTACACTATCATAGTTGCATCATGTGTTAATATGACTGGACATGCAGGATGTTAGCGGGGCTGGAAATGCACATCATCCATTTGATTTAACCCCCTGTGGCTCCAGAATGTTTTCCCCTGTGAAGCAAGTAGCAGTTGGGCGGTGGGTTAAAATATGGGAAATGGCATGTATGAGAGAGGGGCAAAGTGGAAAAGAGGATGAACAGCCTCTTTGCCAGGGTTGCTTTCTGGAATCAGCCACCTCCCTGCTTTAACAGTTTTTTTTAGTGAAAAATAATTTTAGAGCTCCCATCCTTATCTGTTACTGCCCAACAGCTAGTGACTTAGTGGATCCCCATAGTGAAATCTGACCATATTGAGGACCATACTATGGCACACTATACATTTCAGTTGTATTTTGATGTTTAGCATTCTGTTTCCTTTGGGGAAGAGGGGATGGCAAACTGAGGTTAACCCTTTGTTCAGGAGATAATCGCATGTATGGTATCTTTCCATGCAATCATGTGCATGTTAACTCAGAAGTAAGTCCCACTTCATTCAGTGGGCTTCCTCTCCCCAGGAAGGTTTACAGCTTCTATGTAATCCAAAAGCTAATTTAAAGAGAGGGGGGGAGGTAATTCCCTATTATTCACCTTATCACATGAGCTATTCCTGGAAAGGGACTATTTCCTTTAAATCTTGAGCAAAGGAGTGGCAGAAATATTCCTCTGTCAGATCATCTGACAGCCTGAAGGGCAAAGCAAACAATGAGTCACCATTGCAAAGGAAATACAGAAATTCCCGAGAATGAACCCAAGTCACACCTAAACACATGGATTTCTGTGCTTAGGTGTGGGCTTAATCTTCAAACATCAGGGCTATGGGGAAGGGGGCATGGGGGAGAAGGCTACCGAAGGAAGGAGGGAAGGAAGGAACCATAATTTCATCTTAACTAATCAGATTAATTTGTGAAAAATATTTGTGGCAAGCTGCCTATGAACACTGCAGAGGGAGACTTTGAAGGAGAGGTGCTCCTAGAAGGCTCTTACTGGCAGGGTAGAAGCTTGCCAGTACAGTACAGTGATTAATATACAAGCAGCTCCAGGCATGGCACAGTGTTTTGTTTTTCCTGATTTAAGGGTGTGTTGGAGGAACCAGAGAGCTTAGGATCCAGCAGGCCCAAAGCCTCCCTCATCAACACCCATTGTGTCCTCTTTTTAACATTACCATTGGCACAGAAGCAAGGGGAGTGGAGGTGCCCATGCCAGTGTAAGGAGTCTTGTTTCCCTCCTAGCAAAGAGAAAGAAGGCTGCTCCATCCTATGGCCTATGGGACCTCCTAAAGACCATATAATAGCCCCTAAGACAGGAAAGTATACAAAAAGTGGGGGCAACTGGCACCATCTTAGAATCTTTTATTTTTCCATAATGGGATTTCTGCAGAAATCAGTCTTGTAATGGAAAATCCATGTTCACTGTCCAGATGGAAATCAAAGTTCAATAAATGCAAGATGCATAATGAGAAAAATCACATGCTGTGATAAACAGACTTCTTCTAGAAATGTGCAGGAAACATCATCAACTCTTTGAAGAAGCAATATCTCTCCTTTGGCTCATGATTTACAGATCCAGAAGGTGCTCAACAAGTACCAAGGGGGAACAGTAACAACAACTGCATTTGTTACAATCCTCACTTGTCACATAATCAACAACATATGATACCTAAGCAGCACTATGTGTTTTCCGTGATTTGATAAGATCACAGAGAAGATATAGATAAAAATATGCTTGAAAGGTATATGGCCTGTTCTTCCTCAGAAGCCAGGAACAACTGATGAACAGTTTTGTTCATTTTGGAAATAGTGATTCAGTGCCCTACGTTCTGGTAAACAAAACCCAAATGAAGCACTCATAATTGTAAAATACAAAAAATATAATTTGTAAGCGAGAGAAATTGTAGTTTTCTTTCATTGGTAGAATGTATTCCACTTTTTCTGAATGAAAAATGTTAATTTTGTGTATTTGGGGGCGGAGGGGTATCAGGCAAGGATTCAAATGCCACTGTATGCAACAGTCTTCCTAGTTATTTCATGCTTGTTCACAAAATAATCCTCCTTTCATCTGCAAAGATGCTCAAAAACAGACATACTGATCTAGCTGGGGAACTGTGCCCCTCTGCCAAACGGGGAACTGACTCGCCTACATATTAATGTGTAATGACCATTTAAAACAGGATTAACCTGGAGCGAAAAGTGATAAATATTACCAGATTGGTTGTTTCCCTTTGAAACAAATTTTTCCCTCTTAGTTTGTAATACTTCCTACAATGCCCTGTGTTCTGTGTATTTTCTTCCTCCCTTTCCTATTTCTGAATACCCATCTTGATTTCACACTTAACATTTGAAATCCACCCCATTTTACTGCATTTTTATACAAGTTGCATCTGTTCCATTTTCAGGAGCTGCAGCTGAAGATTTCTTACACATTCATCCAGAAAAGCCTGTAGTGGAATATGGCGCCTCCGTGGTCTTGAACTGTAGCTCCAGTTGCGCACCGATTAATCTGGAGACTTCCCTAAAATGGGCTGAGGCCGGAACTGGCTCCACATGGAAGAGCTTCAACTTCACTGAGGTTGACCAGTGGTCAGTCGCCCCATTATGCTATGTTAATTGTGAAAGAACTCCGCTGGATCGCCGTGCAAACTTCACAGTTTATCGTAAGTCACCTGTCGAGCTTTGTCAGAGCCATCATTCAGGCAAGGCTGAGCTTTAAGGGAAGCGAAAAATACTTTGTAGGAAGTGGGGGGAAAGCCTTTAGGCTGAGGCAGCTCCTGACCAGCTCAGTCTATGAATTTTGGGGAGGGACTTTTTTCCTTTGCTCCATGAGCCACCTTGCCTCAACCGTTGCAGCCACTGGTTCAATTCCAGCAAGAGATCTGGAAAGAAGGAGGCTGGCTTAGGAAACCTCATGGAAAACTGTTGCATATTTGAGGCAGCCTTTTCTACTGCTTGGTCCATCTGGCCCAGTGGCTCCCCAGGGCATCGATCAAGGGTCCCCCCCCAGGATGGCTTCACAGTGTAATGTCCCATCTATGGGGCTGTGTCTTCAGAAGAACGGCTGCTCCTTTTGCCTTTTCAGCACCTGCAGAATACCTTATTCTAATATTTCCAGCGCCTTTAAAGGCCATCATTTCTTCTTTAATCTGCTGTCCTTGTGGTTGATGTTTGATTTCCTGTTCCCTTTTTTTTGCTGTTCTAGTCACTGTGTTTCATTTATAAATTCCTTTTGCCTTGACTGATTTATTTTGGAAGCCGTTGTAGATTTTCTATAAACCAATATAATAAAATAACTGCATGTCGTCAAAGAAGAATTGCAGTAAAGGGCCACTCAGCTGAGTGCTTGCATAAAAGATTCCCACCCACCAACTATGCCCCTTAAAATGAAATAAATAATGGTGTGACTTCTGCCAGCCCAATGTGGAGTTTCAAGAAAGATCAGCCCAGGACAATAGAATGATTCTGAGTTGACAGTCATGTTCTGGCTTTGGAGAGGGGAAGTGTTCCACACTTGAGGGGCATCCCTGAGAAAACATCCCTTAACTTGTCCAATCCTGTCTGTGTTAGCACGGAAATGGTGGACCTGGGGCAGGAGGAGTCGGTCAGGATGTGTGCAATCAAAAATGTTGGAGAGTACTGTATATTTTTCTCCAACTTGTCTTTATTCAAGTCCTCGGGCTCCTCCTGAAGGCAAGAATGTGTACATTACAAAGAGTTTTAAAAACTTCGTTTAAGAAGTAACAGTATACTATAGTGAATCCCCACTGTAGTTACACATTTAAAATTAACTCATGATCTTCTCCATATCTAAAAGGGAATGAAATAGTTACTTTTCTTTACTTTTTTTAAAAAAAACATCAAAATGCTAGAAGCTACTAGGCTTTGGTAGAAAGGCTACCTGCCACATAACACTGAAAAAAGAAACAAAAAACCAATTACAGCTGAATTGCACTGCAAAGGGGGAGTTCTCTCTACTTACGTTGCAGTCATCGTGTGACTTAGCTACATCTTTGTTACTTTAAAAATAATTAATTGCAAGTAACATGTTTTTATAACTTTTTGCATCAAAGCCCTTGTCAACTCTACACCAGTCTGCCCTCTCTTTCAGCCTTTTGGTTTCTAAGTGGCATTATTTTGCATATTTTATTTCTACCATTCCTTTCTGCCACAGAATGGTAATATGGCATATAACCAGAATAAAATAAAATCTTGATGGAATGCGTAAGTTTGAAAACAAATAAATTGAACACTCAATTTTTTTTAAAAAATGCAACAATAAAATACATAGGCAGTACTGAGCCACTTAATTTGTCTTCAGAAAGAAACCTTCAACTGACATGCCAAAGGCCTCTCTGAGTAAAATCTTGTTTGCCTGATAGTGGAAAGAAAAAAGGAACAACAACCTACATACCTTAGTAGGGAGTGATAAAGACTGGTAGTGACCCAGGCTCTTTGGACATAATGACCAGTATCCCTAATATTACTGCAGGCAAGTCATACACACCCTATAATAGAAAAAAGGAGCTCTTTAATTGATAACAGTCAGAAGTTGGCAGTAATGTCGTTCTGGTGGTGTGCAGGCAGAACTCAACAACAGGATATAAGCCTAGAATCCACAACAATATTCATTTGCAGAGCTGCTGTAGAAAGGATGACAATGCTTTAAATATAGATCAGTGGAACTGTATGGGGTTTTATTCTATTCCAGGGGCTCCCGAGCGTGTGGAGCTGGATCTGCCGCAAAAGATGGAGGTGGGCAAGGAGTACAACTTGAACTGCCAGGTTTTTGATGTTGCCCCCATCCGGAACCTCACTGTGACCATTTTCAAAGGAGGGAAACCCCTCCTGGAGAAGACATTTGAGAATCATACCAAACCTCAACCTGGTAATATTACAGTGACCTACCCTATAACTGTTGAGCAACAAGACCATAATGAAAGTATCACCTGCCACGCAGCTCTGGATCTGAGGCCAGAAGGTCCACTCCTTGAAAAGCCATCTGCCAGTCAATTGCTAGAGCCTGTGGGTGAGTTCCCCTCTGCTGCTCTTTCCTTTCTCTTCAGATGTCAAGAAGGCAGAAAGCACGCGTGTCTTGAATTGCTGACGACAAGCAACGGCCTAATCACAGGTTGTGCTGGCATGAAAGTTTTCAAATTCTGGAGCTGAAAACTATTTTCTGCTCCCCACCACACACACTGCTATTGACCATATGAGTGGTGATTTCTGGAGCTGAAAACTATTTTCTGCTCCCTCCCCCCCCCCACACTGCTATTAACCATATGAGCGGTGACTGTTATAGGCTATCAAGTCATATTATGGTAACCCTGATAGGATTTTCAAAGTACGTAACATACGTAAGGAGTGGTTTCACTAATGCCACCCCCAGTACGTTTCTAGGGTTGAGCGGAGATTTGACACCCAAGTCTCCTGACAATTCTTGTCCTTCTGGGTGTCTTCAGGAAGAGTTTGTTTTCTGTCCATGACGGAAAGACCTGTTTAGTTGTTAGTTCCATTTATTTCTTGACTTTCTGTCCATGAGGTCAAGATTCTACACACAGGTGTCCTTCTGTCCACTTCATCCTAACAACAACCCTAGGAGGTAGATCAGGCTGAGAGAGACTTCAGGAAGAGTTTGTTTTCTGTCCATGAGGGAAAGACCTGTTTAGTGGTTAGTTCCATTTATTTCCTGACTTTCTGTCCGTGAGGTCAAGAGTATACACAGAGGTGTCCTTCTGTCCACATCATCCTAACAACAACTCTAGGAGGTAGATCAGGCTGTGTGTGTGTGTGAGAGAGAGAGAGAGAAAGAGGCCTTTGCTTCTTCAGTTATTCCCATTTGTTCCATTCTAGATGACGAGAGAGAGTGAGAGAGAGAGAGAGAGATGGGGACTTTGAATTAGGATGTCCGAGGTCCTAGACTACCCACTACAGAAGCACTGGCTCCTATGTTAGAATGAAAATGGGGCCCACAGTATGCCAAGGGAATATCCAAAGAAATTGCCACTGGCTGTAATCTCATCTGCTTCCCATTTGTTCCATTCTAGATGAGGCAGTGGCTGCTGAGTATTTCCACTCTTTACTGAGATGTTTCTGGACATACTTATTTTTTTCTCTTTTCAGCCATGTAATGGCAGTTTGGGCAAGCACCCTTCCCCCACCTCCGATTTTCATTCACAGGCCCAGTCACCCAACAGGAATTCGCCTTCAGCTTACAGTTTTCCCCAGTTGGGTTTTCAAAGGATTGTTTATTTTCAAAGGATTGTTTTTTGGGGGGTGACATCTGCAGATTTCAGGGTTCCTTCAGCCATGCTTTGATATCTTTCTCATGTTTCTTTTTTTAATTCTGCATCTGTAGGCATCAGCAATCACCCATAAGAGTTTGCTATTTAAAGAGAGTTATTTCCTTGACCACAGTTGCGCTTTTCAATTAGAAATGATTTCTCTCACTCTCTTGACAGCTTTTCCAATGGATCCCCTTCTCGAAAGTCCATTGTCTGCAGAAATTGGTACTCAGATGACTGTGACATGTGATGTATCAGGAGTTTTTCCAGCTGAAGAGGCCATGTTTGAGCTGTCCTTTGCCGGAGAGAATCTGGACCTCAGTATCCATGTGTTGGAGGAAACAGCAAGTGCCCAGGCTCTGGTTCACCTTCCTTCAATAGGAAATCACGAGTTGATCTGCACAGTTTCTCTGGGGCCAGTGAAGAGAAGTGTAAATAAAACTGTCACTGTGTTTGGTGAGTATGGTATCTGTAACAAACATGTCTGGATTTTCTTACCATGCTTCAACCAAACCAGAATGAGTTCAGCCTTAAAACTGTTCATTTGGAAAGCAAAGGTTAAAGGGTTACAGCCAGGTTCATCTTAGTTCCTCTGAAATTGGAATTAAGAGATGGATTTGGTTCAGAATGATGATCCAAGATCGAAGGACCTTGTGGATAGCTAACTTACTTTGGAGACAACCTTTTTTAAAAAATTGACACATACAGAGAATACAGATTTGACAGAAGCTCCACTGAGTAAGAGAATGTGGAGAGAAGTGGAATACAAATGTTTTGATCCAACCCAGCATTCTGATCCTGATGGTTGCCACCCAATACCCATAATCCAAAAGAACACTAGAGGGAGGAGTAAATGCATAGGAGGTGGCCTGCACAGGGCAAGGCTTTTGCTATTCCCAACTCACGTTGCTGATCTGAGGCTTCTCCTCTTGATTTGAGACTGAGTGGAATGTCAAACAAGGACATTTTGTTCTCCTGCTGACACACACACTCTGTTTGGGACTCTTCGTCCCTAACTGCATCCCACCATAAGCCACCATTGGAGGTAATCAGAGTTGGCTGTTTAAGCCTGAATTGCAGGATACTGTAGATGATGAAACACTCCATGGCTTGACTTCAGTCTTGTTTCTATTCTTCTTTTGTCAACTCCTGTTTTGGAATGGGAAGCTGAGGGAATGAACCATATTTGTGGCTTTGGATGTCACACTAGGACATAGCCTGGCTGGTCCATTTGCCTTTCAAACAAGGGTCAGTTTGATTGGTTAGTAAACCAAAACTTGTTAGCAGAGTTTAGCTTGTGTTTTGCAGCAAGCAAGGTTTCAACAAACCACACCATCGCTTGTTATTCTATATGGACACAGTCAGGATACCTTGTGCAGTGGTTTACCATTCCCTTTAGTGGTGCTTCACGCAGGCAAGGCAGCCAGTGAACATAATTCAGGTGAGTCACAAATCTAGGTAGCAAGCATGTTGCCAAAAGGCACTTGCAGAGCAAATGTGCATAAGACAGCGCCAAGCACTGAGTCACACCGAACATATTTTCTTCCTGGATAGACACATTCTTTGATTCGTTTGATAAATATTGTTTGGAGCAGCATTGAAACAGTTGGGAAATGCAAAACTTGGTGAGTCACTTCAACTCCAATTTTCACCGTCATCTGGGATTGTGTGTGTGTGGTGTGTCATCAAGCTGGAACTGATCGACAGCAACCCTAATAGGGCTTCCAAGGTAAATCTTTCAGGAGTACTTTTTACCAGGCCCATCCCCACCCAGTCAATTTCCATGAGCAAAACAGGGATTTGAGCCCAGGTGTCCTGAATCTTAGTCCATCACTCTATCCACAGCATCACACGGGGGATCTTCAGAATAGAGTAGAGTTGAGCAAATTAGGTTCCTCCAGATATTGGTGAAGTCTACCTGCCATCAGCTCTTTCCAGCATGTTCAGTCATGAAGCTTGCTGGGAGGAGTACTTCATCAATGCTGGATGGCCAAAAGGTCCCTCACTGTAGTCTGTGGTTAGGTTAGTTTGAATAGAAATCCACAACAATATAGAATTCCTTACCTAACTCTCATGTAAACGTCACTTCTCTGCCCAAAGGAACTGAAGGCTGCATGCAGATGATTATAAATGATTTTCTCCCATTTGTTCGGCTGGGAAGGAATAAAGCATTGGACTCGAGAGGAGGATCTTGTGGCAGTGAGGATCAACTGATGTGGAGCATCTGCTATCCAGTTTGTTACAAGTATACAGAGATGATTTACCAGTTATCACATACAGTAATATGTGTAATCAGTCAACCAATTTTTGTGTGTAATGGTGGGTTTTTTTAATTATTCCCCTCCAGCGTTACCAAAACCCGTCCCAGAAGATGATCATCTTAAGGTCGTTGTCAACACAACAGTAAATGTCATGTGCAAGTTGGATGGCGTGAAGTCCCCTGGTGTTGTTATGCAGATCAAAGATAAGAATCAAACCTTAGCATCCAGTGAAGACAGTTTTGTCATAAACTATGAAGTGACAACGTGTGAAGAGGATGATGGGAGAGAATTTCTGTGCATAGCCCAACTGCAGGTTAATGGGACTGAAGTCACGAAAAACGCATCTGTAAAGCTTACCGTCTTCTGTGAGTATAGTAGGGCACAGTATGCGCAATATTTCATTCCTGGGGCTTGAATTGATTTGTATTCCGGCATCGAGCTGGGGGTTGGACTAGATGACCTTATAGGCCCCTTCCAACTTCACTATTCTATGAAAGTTCCTTACTCAGAGCAAGACAAGTAATTGTTGTATTATTGAGATTTGCTTACGTAAGTTTTACTTAAATGTTGAATATGCTATGCAAACAGAGCAGCTTTGCGTACAGTTATTTTAGTCTGATTCTTACTGAGCTGATGAGAGTAAAAGCTATGTCACCTCAAAAAATGAGGGTGTGGCTTTGTTATTGTATACATCCATCATCAAAAAATACCTATGCATTCAAAAGTATACTTTGCCTCTGTCTGGCATGAAAGATTTATTTATTTCTTATTTGTTGAAAATACTTTTTTACCACCTTCCGTAATTTTACCAAGGTGGTTTACTGAACCGTTTCCCCTGTGTGTGTATCTCTCTCTCTCTCTCTCTCTCTCTCTCTCTCTCTCTCTCTCTCTGTGTGTGTGTGTGTGTGTGTGTGTGTGTGTGTGTGTGTGTACACACACACAGAGTAAAACAATAATATCAACTTTAGAAGATAATTTTATATGGCTTTAGAGCAGCTAATCTTATACTTTTATAATAGGAAATCTCTGTGTGCAGGGTGTTTTCTTAGTGTGGTTGTAGGCAGTCATATTAGTCCCGTATCTGGTTTATGAAGTGGTAGAAACCCAAATTATTGAGCCCACTTTCATGAGATCAAGGCCATCTGTATACATTCTGTGGGACAATGATTGGTTTGCTTGAACAAGGAAAGAAGGATGAGGGGCAGAGGAGGATGAGGGGAGACTGATTGAGAAACTATCATGCAGAAGAAGAGTTTGAAAGCCATAAGGAGACCTAACCCTTGTTGCCCAAACTAGAGGTTAAGATAGTTACTTTCTTGGACTACAAACACCATGCTATGGAAGTTAATAGTAGAGAGAAGTAACTTTTGTATCCAAACCATTTCTCTTCAGTTTGTTGGCAGAAGCTGCTAACATGTTTCCTGATCTTTTCCCCCAACCCCAAATTTTAAAGGCAGTTGCATGTTTTCCTTTCCCCCCTACTTAGTATTATCACAACGACTTGATTATTTATATTTGACACTTTGTTGTGAAAGCCGTGATCTGGTGTTTCCATATCTTTAAAAAACAAAGAGAAATGGTGGGGATGAGTGAACCAGTCCTGAGATGCCCAGCTGTGAAAAGCTACAGCGACGCTTCTCTCTTACTTTGGGCTAAAGGGACCCACAGTGTTTTTGTCACAAGCAGCCCTGGTGACGAAAACATTGTCTTGTTCAGCAAACCTTCAGCCAGCCTGCACCATTGCAGAGCTTGCCTGTGAGCCTGTGAACAAGCAAAGGTCTGCCAGATTTCTGATGGAGGTGGAGACATGAGCGGTGAGACTTACCTGCATCCCTACATTGTCACCACATTTCAAGCACAACCCAGTTTCAAGGACAACAGTTGAAATAAAGTCTTTGTGAGGTTCTAGCTTCCCTACGTGAGGTTCCAGCTTCTACAGTGAAGTCCACACCCTATACTCTGCAGCATGGTACAGATTTCAGAATCTTTGTGCACCCAATATACGGTGCTTAAATTGTGTATATTTGTGTCTAATTGTGCTGCAGTTTTTCATGAAAATGCAGATTGTACTGTATCCACGTTGCCAACAAAAATAACCACACTCTGTTTTCCCATTGTAGATGCGCCCCGAATAACTAATACAAGCTGCCCCAGTGTGTTAACATGGAAGGAAGGCAGCATGGAAGCCTTTATCTGTTCTGCACATGGAAACCCGCCACCAACTGTTGAATGCAGGAGAGATAATATGGTCTACCACATTGGGGTGCAACAGCAGATCATGAGAGAGCACAAGGGGGTATATCACTGCAATGCCAGCAACGCTTATGGCTCAGATGCTAAAGATGTGACCATAGTTGTGGAATGTAAGTCTTAAAAACCATCAGCTGGGAAAACCTCCACTGTTTCCTATGCTATAATACACAACCAGATTTTAACAAAAGAGGCAAAGGGATGGAAAAGGGATGGGAATCTTGTTCATTCAGCCCAGGGCACTGTCTCTATCTGCAGTTGAACTTGGAAAGATGGAGATGGTCTCTAACAGCCAGCAAGCATGATTTGTGAACCACAAAGAGGGTCTTTTAGAACATGGACCCAATAGGTATTCCAGGCTTGTCTGACCTATTGGTTTACAGTGTAGCCTTGGTCAGCCTTGGGGGTGTGTGTGGCGGTTTACAATATAATAGCTTCAAAAAGAAAACCAGAGACGTTCGTTGGCCAAAACAAATCAGTGTGAACATAAATAACAATGTTTCTGTGGGATTGCCTTCATAAAGGAAAAACAAAGGTAATCTCTCGCATCAGTAAACTCCTCATTCTTCATCAGGGTGGGTAAACTTCAGACCTGCAGATACATTGGACTTTGAACTCCCATCATCCCCATTCAGAATACAGAGTGGCAAGGGATTGTGGGAGTTATGGTCTAAAACATCTGGAAAGCCAATGCTCCAATGCCATGTCTTCTTTGACACAGAGATACTGATACATAGCCTAGATCAGTGGTTCCCAACCTTGGATAACCCAGATGTTCTTGGACTACGATTCCTAGAAACCCTGGCCAGCACAGCTGGGTGATGAAAGCTTCTGGGAACGTCAGTCCAAAACACCTGGATTACTCAAGGTTGGGAACCACTGGCCTGGAATAATAAGGGAACAGTGCATATGAAAACATCCAAAAACTTGCTTTTCAAATTGCCCACAGAAATTACTTTCACTGCCTTAAGGGGAAATAATTTTGAGAATACTGCACGTTCCGTTAAGCATACAGTTGTGAAGAATTAGGCATGTGTTCATTGGTAGTACAGTTGAGCAGAGATCTGGAAGTCAAGGAGAGGGATGGCAAAGCTATGCAACACTCTGATGCTGTAGCACCTGGAAAATGTCATGTCCCAGTTCATCCATTTGACATTGAGCAACTGGCCTATATATTCCTTTAACCTTAAAGGCTAGAATCTTCTCCTTTTCTGAGCAAAAGTAGAGTTTGTTTGCTTTTTTAAATAGATGTGACCCTCTGGAATTCTGAGGCACCTGAATTAAACTGGTTTGTCTTTTCCTTTCCCAGTTTTCCAGCTAAACATCGTTGCCGTTGCCCTGTCAGTTCTCGGTGCAGCGATTATTATTTCTGTGGCGACAGTGGGCTATTATATGTACTACCGAAGCCATAAGGTGAGGAAATATCGCCTAAAGCAGCAAGCAGCAGGAAACCCCATGGAGCAGAAGTGTCTGAACGGTGGTGCAAGTGTCTAAATGGACAGGGGACGGTTAAGAAACTCAAGAGGATCTGGCCCCCGGTCTGGCGAGACAGTAGGTGCTGTCGGGGTTCATCTTTGCTGTGAGGAGAAAACATTTCATCTGGTGCTGAACTACTAACAGGCGGTGTTTTGACTGGAATTGGAAAGAGTGGCGGATGGTTTCTCCACTTTCAAACTATGGTTGGTTGCTTTCACTGCAAGGAGTCCCATCTAGAGAGAAGGTGTCCCAAGACATGTTTCTCTCTTATCTTTCGCTTAAAGCTTTCCTTTTCCAACCAACGATTCTTCTCCATCCGGAGTTATAGACAGCAGTAGATGGTGTGAAAAGGGCGTAGCTGCACCCATTTGCAAGCAACACTAAGGGACTTGGTAGGTGTCTGGATGCCACAGAGGAATGGAAGCCCTGCAGCAGGCCTGGGCTCTGTGCGCCGTGATGGAGCACAGAGGACGAAGCTTTTAGTGACTGTGGGATGAAGTGTCTGCCTTGATCCTTTCTGTACCAGCAGCCTTACTGGGACTGTCAGCAGGCAGCGGGCCCCTCTCTAGGGGGGTTTGCGGGCAAGCTGTCCATAGCTCATTTAGGGACTTCAAGAAAGGTCTTCTGCACTGAAAAAATGGGAAGGCCACCACGGTTGGTTGGTTGGTTGGTTTATTTTAATTTTGGTTTCCTGATACGTGAACTCAGGATTATCTTGTCGAAAAAATTCTGTAGGTCAACCTGGATAAAGTTGGAAATGACGTGGAGCAGAGTTCCATCACTTATCAAAACTGACAACACCCTCTTTAACAGGAAGAGCAGGTCTTGAAACATCTGCTGTGAGAGTCTTGCTCATGTGTTCACACAATCCCATTGTTTTCACACAATTTCTGGTATAAAGATACCATAAAACTCGTAAGTTTAACTGCACAGTGGTAGGAATGGAGAGGGGGAAGGAAAAAACCCTGCCCCAGATGTGTGCTTGGTTTGTCTTACATATTCTGTCTCTTGTGACTACCGGCGATATGTAGCAAAACTGGTGCAACTGAGCCTCAAAAACACAATTGTGTGTGGCAAGCTCATGCAGGGATGCCTAGGCCCTCTTTATCTTAGGGGCACACCTGGCATATGAAATGGTCCTCATGCAGAAAGAACAGGAAGCAGCTGCTCTCTTGCTGATCCTTAAGCTTATTATCATCATGTGCCTTTGGACTTGTAAAAGGACACCTTGACTGAAACCCAAAATTATACATACTGTATATGATTTTTTTTTCACTCTCTGAGTACTGTATATGTTTCAGATGATCATCATGCAACAATGGTTTGGCATGTGTATCAAGGATGTGGTGCAATTATATGTTTCAGATGATCATCATGCAACAACAGTTTGGATGTAGTGCAACTTTTCCCTTCAAACTCTCAACAAATCACTCCAATTCATTCTTGTATTTGGTTTTACAGAAATATTCTATTGCAGGAAGAACAACATATATTTATTAATATTGTTCATGTCACTGGCTAGAAACTATAGGAAATAAATAACTAAAAGCAGAGTGAATGATGGAGTTTAAAAAATACTGGCAATGTGATTTTTTTTCTTTTTAAAGTTTCGTGAAACAAATGCAATGTTCTTCGCCATATGTTGGGGTTCTGTGTCACAGGGAAATACTGCAGGTTGCTGGCAATACGTTGTAACAGTTATCTTCCAAAGGATATAAAAGCTGCAATGATTATATTTTCTTAGTTGCTTTGTCACGGTTATTATCTAGTCATATATAAGAATGGAAACAGTCTAAATAGTAAATTATAAGTAGTTGTTTTACATTGAAAAAACAGTAGGACATTCCACAATATTAAAGAATTCATGGGCCAAAATATTGGTGGCCAAAATCCAGTTGCTTAGTTGTGTAAAAGACATAACTTTTGAAGGCTGATTGCCTGAAGATAAGAAGTCTTTGTAGACATTATCTATTGCGTATCGAGTCATGCAACTCAGTATGCAACATAATGTCTACAGAGATTTCTTAACCTCAGTCAGCTCACCACCAAAAGCTACACATTTTATGTAATTAAGTTTGTATGGATACAGTGAAAATGATCCACCATGTATATTAGAGGGGATGACTTTATTATGCTAATTTAGAGATTACAAAAATGTGTAAGCTTTTGAGTTCTATGGATCCTCTTTATTGAACAAATGTTGTGTGTGTGCACACGCACTCACACAAACACAAACACACATGTAAAGCTACAGCATGCTTTGGCTGATTTCAGATGAAGAAGACAGAAGCCAAACCATTGCCCTATAAGTTTAAGATTTCTGTATTGAACATATCTGGCAGTCTGTTCATCTTCCTAAGATAAATACTTTGAATATATTAATAATAATGAATATGCTGTCAAGTCACTTGTGACTTATGACAATCCAGTTTTTCTGACATAGAGTACTCAAAAGTGATTTACCAATCCTTCCTTGTGTGGGACCGCTGGGGCTTGTGCATCTTGGCCAAGGCTATCCATGTGGCACACATGCTCAGGGTCATCTAGGCTGGTCCCTTTTGCTGGAAGCACAGTGGGGATTCAGACTCCTGGCCCCTGGCTCCACAGCCAGGTGCTGAATCAGTATTGTCTCCTAAGTCAGGAAAGCCATCTTCATATTAAGGGAGGTCACCCTGAGGCCATCAAAAAAATAATCTGCACAGTTGTGAAAGCAGCAAATTTCCCATTAGTAATTTTTTAAGCCCCAGTGGAGCAAATAAAAACAATCACAGATGAAAAAACCCAAAGATGGAACATGCTTAGTAGACACAGAATTCCAAGTGTCGGCTGAAAAAGAACAAAGGAGTGGGGACGGGACTGGAACGTCCTGGAGGTGGACGTGGCTGGCTGGAATCCTGGAACAGGTGCAGAGTTAGGGACATGCCACGTCTTGTTAGTCCTGCTTCTAAGAAAAATCCATTTTGAAAGCTGGTGGAAAAGGCAGCCAGGTAGAAGAAAAGGTCTGGGATCCTCCTTGGCTTTAAAACAAAGGGTTAACTTAAAAACATGGTGTATGGCTCCAATAGGTTCCACCTTTCAGCCATCAGGCTCTGCCCACTCATCTTCAGGCCATGATCCTCAAGAGACGTGGCACAGGTAGACTTGTACATGAAGGGAGCGCATCCAAACTGAAACCTGGGCAGAGGACTGAGGACAATTCTGAAGATGGGAAACATCATCACAACCCAGCAAACAATAAGACCCTCAATCCTTGATAACATTTCTCTGGCAACACTGAAGAGGAGAAGAAAAATAAATGTTGCTGCCATGGTAGAACAAGAAAGATGATGTTCGTTACGCAGTTTCTCCTCCCCACAACCTTTTTGTAAGAAATTAGGAGGAAACCCAATAAAGCATGCCACATACCCATACATGAGTCAGAAGGACAGATGTATGTGCAAAAAGTGATCAATATGAAATCTTGCACTAATGTGATAGCACTGGTTAAGAAGCGAGAGGATGGGAGATATTGGGGAAAGAATGATGCTTCTATCATTAACTGCAGCTTGGTGGGGAAGGAGAGAAAGCTCCGTGAAGCCCATATTATTGCTGAGCTGACTCTGATAGTTCTTTCCATTCATTCATTCATTCATTCATTCATTCATTCATTCATTCATTCATTCATTCATTCATTCATTTTTACCCTTCCCATCTAGACACAAGTCTGCTCTGGGTGGCTAACAATAAAAATGGAATAAAAACAGTATAATAAAACAAAAAGCAACAATAGTAATATGGTTCAAGATGGGGGGAGAAGTAAAAATAATCAAGTGATGACAGGAGGGGAAAACCTGTCTAAAGAGCCAGGTCTTAAGCTGGCTCTTAAAAACACCCAGCAAGGGAACCAGACAGATCTCTGAGGGCAGTCTGTTCCAAAGGCAAGGGGGCACTGCCGAGAAGGCCTGGTTTCTTGTTCTTTCTTTCTGAGCCTCCCTCAGTGTTAGGCCCCTCAGCCACCCTTCCTGGCTAGAACGTGTGATTCTGGTAAATCTACATGGGAGGAGGCGTTTTTCTAGGTATCAAGGTACCAAACCATTTAGGCTTTATATGTCATCATTAACACTTTGAAATCAATACGGAAATGAACAGGCAGCCAATGCAAGGTGGCCAGAGTGGGGGAAATATGCTAATATTTTCTCATTTCCCTCGGGGATTCCAACAGTGCCGTGGAGACAAAGTCCGCCAGCTCCGGTAAGGAAATGGCTGGGTCACGGGGAGCACAGTAACCCAGCAAGATCCCAATACCATCCCTGGCTTAATCGACACGTGGAGGGCCTCCAGGCCTGGCTTCACCACCACAGAGCACCTAATAACTCCAGAGTGTTTCTATAAACAATGGCTACTCCCCCACCCCGCCCCTCCAGTCTACTCTGGTGTTGGACTCCTTAACGAGGAGGACAGGTAAGGGTCAAGGGAACACCCTCTTCTCTGCCCATCCAAGTTTCGGTTATGCATGCCAGGTCTGCATCCTCCTCCAGAATAAGGTTTTGGATAATCTGTGATTTGTTGGATACAGACCTGGCATTCAACAGCACCAGATTTAGTGTGGAGGGACAGTTGATCTGACTAGCTCAAGACTGACGGTTGGTCACAGTGCCAGAAGAGCGAACAGCCTTCAAACATCTGTTCACCGTTCTTCTGAAATGAGTAGGAACTGTGCCATCGCCATACCTCCCTCTACCCATAATCACTTGCATGTTCAAAGGACCCCCACTTGGGGGGGGGCAAACCTTCCACTCCATGTCAATGCACCTCAAGAAGGGTTGTCAAGGCCTTTTCTTCTTGGACTGTGAAATATGGATCAGAGGAGCTAAGGGGTGGCACTTCATGGACAACAAGTACACAACGTTGGTCCCCACAATACTAATTTTTGCAAAAACTTTTGGAATATTCCACTTTGGGAGGAGGGCATGTTTTTCATAATTTTTGAGACCTCCATTCAAATGCATTGATGAAATCAAGCCTGGCAATCTCTAGAAGCAAAAATGACTAAATTAAGGTAAGTGTACTTCGGGCGTTTCATGGGAAGTAAAAGTTCACTGGAAAAAACAATAAGGCTGGAAAAAGCTGAAGACAGCAAGAAAGAGGGAGATCAGGATCAAGTGAGAGATGATTTGACTCAATAAGGGAAGCCAGGGCCCTGAATCTGCAAGATCTGAGCAGGGCTATTAATGACTGGACCTTTTGTAAGTCACTAATTTGGAACGTTTCCATAAGTCTTAAGTGACTTGATGGCATATAAAAACAAATGGGACTTCTTAAAGTCGACAGAGTGGGAGTTAGAAAGGTGAAAGGAAATAGCCAAACCCCTCAAGCCAAGCCAAGCCAAGCTAATGGGTTGCCTTCTTGTATCTGGATCCCTGACGAGGACGTACATCAAAACACTGTATTTCTTCCATAATGGCATTCAAGACAACTAATGTAAGATATTTCATATCTAATTGTCAAGACCAGCTGTTTTTCTGGTTCAGTAATGCTAACTACCTTGTACCTTAAGATCATGGGTGCTTTCAGGTGAGGCTTTTATTATGAAATCACTCTGCCTTCTTTACAAAATAATTTTACAGCAATATATGCTTCCATCATTTTTTCTTATTACGAAAAATAACTCTGTCAAGTAATAAAGGGCAAAGTTTGACCTGGCACCTTTTGATCCGCCATGCCAATTGTCTGAAGTCTAGACACATCTTATGCTGTACGGACTATTTTTAGAACCTGAAAGTGGAAAATCAGTACATAATGGTTTCTGATGTAACCAAATCTCAATACCTTTCATGGTATTATCTTTACTGCACTTTTAAAAATTATGTCAAGGAATAAACCCCAAATGTCTCACAGGATAAATCAGAAAAAAACATTGTACAAGCAAGAAATGGAAAACACAAAATTTAAGCATGACATTTAGCGTGCTAAATTTTGCTTCCTTTCATAGCATTGCCGCCAATGTTATTTATAAGTGGAACGGTGACACATTTAAAAGCAAGAAAGGAACTGAAAAACATGTGAGTTGTGTGAGAAAGCAAATGTGGCAAAAGCCACAACCTCAGTGTATCCATTCAAGGTAAAACCACACCTTATGTAACAGAAAAACTACTCATACAGAGAAATGGTTGGAGGGGGGGACTCCTATGTACCGAGTCCCCCACATTTAAATTGCCCAATGTGGACCTGTCTGCACATAAGGGAGGGGGACTCGTGTATGAACCAGTTTTTTAAAGAGCTCAAGAATGCCTCCAGGTGGGAGCAAGCACTTTCCCTAAAATAGTCTTTTCGCTAAGTTGTCACTCATGGTTTTATGTACATGATAAAGTCCTTGCTTCTGTATTCACGGTCTTTCCGCATCACTTGTCTGCACACAACGAACTTGACTGGCTTATGAAGATGCTATTAATACCCAATAAAGTACAGAGAGAACCCTTCCTAACGTTTTATAGGATAGAACTGGAAAGGCTGAAAGCCCTGGCTAAATTTTGTCCCACTTGAAAGAATTCAGTGGCATGTTATGGCCTGAAACCTGCTTGTTTTAAACAAAGCTCCCCACAGCTTCCTCTCACAGCCATCCCATTTGAGAATCGGTGTGTCGTCGCCCTCTGCTGCTGAACAGTGAAGCTGCACTTGTCATTCCAGTATCAATAAAATTGGAGCTGATGTGACTGGAGCTGTTTCTGTTTCATTTTCACTTCTTCGGTCCTCTCCTCTCTCTTTTTTGGGGGGGGCCCTCCATAGTCTCTCTAGGGCTGACCTTAGCAGGAGGCAGGCTGAGCCTCAGGTGGTAGGTCCTGTGAGGCAGCTGTGGCAACCCTGCAAGGCCCAACCCTTTATTCCACCTGCTTCACTCTGGGCCATTTCCCGCTCCCTGCTGGAGGAGAGTGTTGTGTAAACCCATCCGGCACCTCCCTGAAACCAGTTTGCTGCCGATGAACACAAACCCCACTGCCCTTGGTGAAGTCAGATGCATTGGCCAGTCCAGGTAACTTGTGCATACAAAAGGCCGTATTTCACAATCAGTTGCCCCAGTTTGTTCATTAGTAAGGCCAGCCTTGTGAAGAAGAGTCCAGAGGTCCGGTCGTCTTGATGAGGACAAATTCTAAAGTTCCTTGTAGCTTTCCAGTTGCATCTTACAGACTAGCATCTTTTTTCCTTTTCCCTGCTCTCTCATTATGTGCCAACTCATTCTTTCTGCTTTTTTTAAAGCGTGTCTGACTTTCTAAGTTTAAGGCCAGTCACGACATTAGGCAGAGCGAGACTGACATCTCAGATACCGAGGTGTGTAGAATGAAGACCCTAACATGGTCTGTTCTGAGCCTCTTATCCAACCCCTGCTGCTGCACTCTGGTAGAGAGGAGGTGTGAAAATGAGATCCAAACAATTGTGGAGTGGAGCCAGGGTTTATGGGTCCAAAGGCTTCACGCTTCAGTGTCAGGCTTCCTTATTCTGAGCTCAGCTGCAATTCCCACCATAGCTGGGGGAGAAATTGATACTCCTGCTGTAGTGCAACATTTTCAATGGATAATCAAGAACCATTAACTTCACAAAAGACCTGCTCCTTGTTTGTGGATACAGATTGCTCTAACTACAGTGGTGCCTCACTAGATGATGATAATCTGTTCCACTGAAATCGCTGTTTAGAGAAATCATTGTCTAGTGAAAAGAATTTCCCCATTGGAATGCATTGAAACCTAATTTAATGCGTTCAAATGGGGAAGAATCGTTGTTGTCTAGGAAAGCCACTTTGCGAACCGCCGATCAGCTGTTTAAATCGCTGTCTTGGGTCCCAAAAACACCTGTTTTGCAAGCGCAGAGGGAGCTGTCAAAATTGTCATCTAGCGAAAATCGGTTTGCGAAGCAGGGACCAAACATTGTCCAGCGAAATTCCCCCATAGGAATCACTGTTTTGCAAATCACTATTTCGATCACAAAAAGTGAATGTCTAGCGAAAAAACTGTCATGTGGGGTAACTGCCTAGCGAGGTACCACTGTATATGTATATTTGGATCTTCCTTATGCTTATCTCCCTATCTCTCTTTCTCTCTCTGTTTAAAATCACAATAAATTAATGCATTAATATTAAAATGCAACTAAACCTAAATGATGTTTAAAACACCACTAATTAAAATTAATTTAAACATATTTAATATACATGATTAAAACTGTGCTAAATAGCCTACATAAAAGTCCAATCCTGTCAAGGCATTCACATCGAAATATGAAGATTTTTCCAATCATACTTGTAAATTTACTGCTACAGAAGCTGATTCAAATCAGCTGAGATCTTGGTCATCTTTTGTACAGAGTATTATAGCAGTACACTAGTTTCACATTCACAAACACACACACACTAATCTGGAGGCCAGTGTGGTGCTTTGGAACAGATCTGAATTCAGTCTAGAGTCTTTCCCCCCATCTATTTCACTTGATCTGTTACACAGATCCAAACTGATGTATGAAGCCTCTCACTGACTTGCACTAGAAAGTAAAAACCACACTTACATTTTTTTCCCTTTCGTATTGATGTACAAGAAATTTGGAGACACAATAGATTCTAAGAGAGCAACGAATCTGCCAAATTTCAGCTAGCTTCAGGCATTTGTGTACCTGGCATCTTTAAAGTTTTCTTTAAGGATTTTTTTCCTGGAATGATATCTGTCCAAATTATCATAGAATCACAGAAAAGTGAAGTTGGAAGGGGCCTACAAGGCCATCAAGTCCAAACCCCTGCTCAATGCAGGAATACAATCCAAGCATATCTGCCTGGTGATTATCTAAGTTTTTCTTGAATGCTTTTCCTTTTTTTAAAAAAGTCACACTGGAAGAGATTTGGATCAGCAAAAGTAATTTTGCATTGAGGTGCACATCTAAGAAAGTATGCCTAGGACTGCAACATTAGGTTTCTGCACTGGAAGAAATGATAGCGAGGGATGCTTTATTTTGGCTGGGTGATGCCTAACGATTTTGTTGTACATTATAAACCAACCCTTACAGTTTTCTTTCTAGGAACTTCGCCTGCTTGCTTATCTTCCTCCAGCAGAGCAATTAAACTGCCCACGCTGTGCCAGCCCTAGAATCCTTCTCGTCTTCTGTCTGTTAGAAGATCCATAGCAAGGAGTGAGTCCAAACCCCAGTTGTCTTGTGTGGGTGTTCTTTCTCCTACTACTCAATAACCCCATTATTCCTGCAGGTAAGTGACACAGCTCTCGCTGCATCAGAGACTTTGCCGTCAAAGTCTGGGAGCAGGACTTGAACCTTGTGCTTGAAGCCAGTTCGCTTTTAAGTGGCAAGAATGCTGTGATGATTATATAGATAGTCTTCCCATGGAGTGGATGAGATTATTTGTACAGACTTTGCATGGTTGCTCCTAATGGCTTGTTCTGTGTCTCATCACTCACTTTCTGATCGTCTTATTGGAAATGTCCTATTCTCGTCCACTTCAGCTTGTTCACACCAAATGTGACAATACTTACCCGTCCCATTTGTCTTCCTCGTCCACTTCAGCTTGTTCACACCAAATATGACAATACTTACCTGTCCCATTTGTCTTCTGAGGACTCCAAGCTTGACTGAAACTTTTCACATTCCACATTACTATGTTATCGTTTGTGCAGCATCGGACTTTTATTTTGCCTATGTGTATGTCAACAAGTAGATGGGCTTTCTGCTTTGAACGAGCAGCTTCGTTGGTCACATACTTTGCTTTTCCCCAGTAGGTTATTAACAGGCTTGACGAAATGGGCATTCAAGGCCACTGTTTGTTCCCCTGCAGGGATAGGATGATTCACTCCTAAAGACAGCAACCAGATATTTTTTTTCCTGGAGTGGACCAGCCTGCCCTCAGAGCAGTCCTGCCTACACCTTTTTGAGCCCCTATCAGGGGCTTCTACCTCTTTGGTGCAGGTGAGATCGCTCTTCTTTTGGTCTGTTTCCAGTATGACTGATAGCTGCAAATGGAACAAAAGTGACCCTTCCTCTAACTTGCCCAATTGTGAAGTGGATTAATAAGACACCCAATACAGAATATTGGCAAATTCATTCTCAGCTCCATGGAGGTGCTGAGGAAGTTTGTAAAAAGTAAGTGTGCATTAGAGCAACAAGGATTAGCTGCACCATTTTTAAAAAAAAGACAAATGGAAACCTTCTTCCTAGAAGCTTTGGTTTGCCTTCCCCCCCCTTAAAGGTCCACTCGAGAGACTGCCCTTGTTCCGTTGTGGGCAGGCCCTCATTCGGACCTCTACAGTGTGCTGCTTTGTGGTCAGGCCCTCAAACTGGGCCTCAAAAGCCCTCTAAGAGAAAAGGCAATAAAAGCTCCTAGGAGGAAGCTTTCTATTTGCCTTTTTTTAAAAAAAAATTGGTGCACACTTTATATGTGTGCGCGTGTTCACTTCCTCAGCCCGTCTATGAAGCCAAAGAAGTCACGACTTTGCCAATACCATAAAGTGTCTCCACTGGCAAAGGCTGTGACCAAACATGGCCACTTGAGGTGCGTATGCCACGGAGAGGCATCGTTCCTACCAAAGGGCCTTTCTGTCTGTTTTCCTAGCAACCCTGTTTAGCCCCGTCCCAGTCGGTTCCTTCCACACTGTGTAGACAGGCCCTAAGAGCCTTCTGGCCTGAGAGTGTCTCGTCTGCTAACACTCCCTCATGTTTCATTTTGGATTGTCTCATCAAAGTGTTTTCAAACCAGAAACATTCGGATGTGTTTGTCATTGCTTCCTTCTGTACACGACTAACAAGAGTCACCTTGACTGCCCTTATGTGCCAAGATAAGGAAGAAGTATGTAATTGCATTTTATGTTACAGGCTCTTGAAAGGCTTGGGAATGTTTAGTAGCATGGGAAAGATATGCAGTGATGAGGCTGTTGTTGTTGTTGATTTTTTTTAAAGCTTAAATCCCTTCTTCTTCTTCTGTTGTTGTTGTTGTTGTTGTTTTTTAAAGCTTAAATCCCTTCTTCTTCCTTCTTCTTCTTCTCAGCCATGGTGAGACCCTGGCACCTTCTTATCCTGCCATGTGCCCTGTCAATACTCGCAGGTAAGTGCCTTGACGTCTGGACTGTATATGGAGCTTAATTCCTACTCAAGGTACTGTATTGGTTTTAACCTGAGAAATATTTTGCTTTCCGCAATGTTACACTTGATAGACTGTTTCTTCCTTTATGGAACAAACTAAACCTTAAGATTTATTCCATGTTCCAGGATCCCTCCCCAAGCATGGGTTACATTGTGAAAAAGGGACCTGCCTAAGTTCTGTCTCGCCCTTCTTTGACTTGCTCTCTGGTGAGGTACAACAGGTGACTCTTAAGAGAAGGAGCTTTCTCAGAAATGGCATCTTGATGAAGGAATATCTGCACCAGACAGATCTGCTTGCTGCCTAACTTAACGTCAGACCACCCCTCTTTATCCTTGTGCAGACTCACTTTTAAGTGTTGTTCCTGTACCATATTAACCCTCTTTAACCTTTGCCAGTTTCTCTGCTCTTCAGTGTTATTTTTTATGTAGCATTTGTTGCAATTTTTAATTATTTTATTTGGTGAGCCACAAAGACATCTTTTTGTTAGGGGAAGGCCTGCAAATAGCATCAATAAAGTGACAGCCAAAATTCATTCAGGCTGCCAACCTGTTTCCAGGTGCAATTCAAAGTGCTGGTTTTAACTTCCAAATCCCTAAAATGGACCTCTCAAAAATGTATTTCCTTTGATGAGCCTGACAGGGTGTTGAGATCTTCAAGGAAGGCCTTTTTCTCAGCCCCACCACCTTCACAGCTGCATTTGGTGGGGACATGGGGGAGGGCCCTTTGCTGTCGCTGCTCCCAGACTCTGGAACTCCCTCCCACAGTAGATGAGGGTCACCCCATCTTTGCTGTCCTTCTGCAGGCAGGTGAAGATCTTTCTCTTCAGGCGTGCTTTCCCTTAGTGACTGGCTGTCTAGGAGAGGCTTACATACAGAAACATTAACAAATTATCAACATTAAAATGGGATGGTTTGTATTTTGTTGCTTTTGAATTTGTTTTAATAATGATGTTTTAATAATCTAACATTTTTAATATGTCTTTTAAAAATATTTGAATCACTTACTGTTTTCAGCTTTCAACAGTGTCTTTTTAGATTATGCAGAGCCCCATTAGGTTTCAGAGAAAAGTGAGGTATAAATAAATAATTAATTAAATAATTAAATAAACAAACAAACAAACAAACAAACAAGCAAGCAAGCAAGTAAGTAAGTAAGTGTGGGAATTTATAATTATGTTAACAGAGTGCAGCAGTCTAGTAAGAGTGAGTTTATGGCTATGAATTACATGTAATTGCTCAGAATGCTCATGATCAGGTACAAGGAAAAATGTATGTTTGTGTTTATGGTCCAATATACCCATTCAAGATAAAACAAAGGAGGGGGGGACACACTAGACTTGAGTACTGAAGCCTGTAAAGCTGGATTCCATGTATGCATACACACAAAAGAACAAGATGGATGTATCCTCATGGCTTGCTCTCCATTGCAAAAGAACAGCAGCAAAGCAAGCAAACAAACAAACCAAGTTATTTTCTTCAAGAAGTGGAAGGGACTCAAAGGAGAAGCAATGAGAGACAAAGATCACCATGGGCAAGATACTCAAACGTCCTGGCTTCTTCGTGGTCTCGTATTCTCCCCTGGTTGCTTTCAAGGCAAAAATTGTTGTGCACTAGCATGGGACGTGGGCAAAAGAACAGCAGCAAAGCAAGCAAACAAACAAACCAAGTTATTTTCTTCAAGAAGTGGAAGGGACTCAAAGGAGAAGCAATGAGAGACAAAGATCACCATGGGCAAGATACTCAAACGTCCTGGCTTCTTCGTGGTCTCGTATTCTCCCCTGGTTGCTTTCAAGGCAAAAATTGTTGTGCACTAGCATGGGACATGGTGGCGTTGCGGGCTAAACAGCAGAAGCCTGTGCTGCAGAGTCAGAAGACCAGCAGTCGTAAGATCGAATCCATGTGATGGAGTGAGCTCCCATCACTTGTCCCAGCTCCCGCCAACCTAGCGGTTTGAAAGCCTGCAAATGCAAGTAGATAAATAGGGACCACCTCGGTGGGAAGGTAACAGCATTCCGTGTCTAAGTCGCACTGGCCATGTGACCACGGAAAATTGTCTTCGGACAAACGCTGGCTTTATGGCTTGGAAACGGGGATGAGCACCACCCCCCAGAATCGAACACGACTGGACAAAAATGGTCAAGGGGAACCTTTACCTTTACGTAGCATGGGAAACCTGTTCCTAACAGCCACATGTGGCTGTACCGACTTTCTCCATTCTGGTGCCTCCCAGATAGGTTTGGCACTAAGTCCTACCCGTGGCTATGCTGGATGCAGATAACAAAATGCTGACCATGTAAGCAAGTTATTTTGCCCTGCCCTGAAAGCAGAACTATCCCTAGGGTGGAGCCACTGGGGTGTAGTCAGCACAAGAATGTGGTGCTGAAAGAACATAAACCGACACATTGTAGTTAGGTTAGTAATGGAAGGGCATGGAGCCACTCCCGCTGGGCACATGTACAGCCTCCTGTCTCTTCTCTCTGGGCAGGAGGAGACCTGCAGGCCCAGGAACCAACCTAACCATTGCACCCTCACACAGAGTATTCCTCCTGATTCCTCTGTCCTCAACCTGCATAAGCCAATCTCTTGTGATCCAAGCTTAACCAATAAGGCAGCAAGGCCTCAGGCACCAAAAATGCTAGTTACAGTGGTGCCCCGTATAGCGACATTAATCCATTCCGGATTAATTGTCACTATCCAAAAACATCTCTAAACGGATCAAAAAAACCCATAGGAACGCATTAAACTTAGTTTAATGCGTTCCTATGGGGCCCAAACTCACTGTTCAGCAAAGTTCCTCCATAGCGCTGCCATTTTCGCACCCTCGGTAAGCAAGGGCAGGGCGCGAAAACACTTGCAGTGGCCATTTTGGGCACTTGGCAGCCATTTTGGAACCGCCGATCAGCTGTTGTAAAAACATCGCAATGCAAAGATCGGTAAGTGAAACGCTTACCAATCATCACAATGCGAGTTTTTGCCTATCTAAACATCGCAATGCGATCGCTTTTGCGATCGCAAAAGCGGCATCGCTATGAGGATTCGTCGTTAAACGGTGCGCTCGTTAAGCGAGGCACCACTGTATGTCCCTGATTCAAAGGCACCAGAAAAAAGTAAATGAGCCTAATGCTCTGGTGGCTACCAGCTTCACTGATTAATTAGTGCTGTAACAGATTAAATAACTGGCAAATACTGTGTTTCTTTTCATAAAGTGCAGTGGTTCCACAGCCGGGGTGATCCACTCTCCTCCCTCACAATCTGCAGTGTGAAGTTGTGCATTGTGCAAGCTGGAAAGCACCTTGCTGCTTCCAGCCAGTCCTTGTAAGTATTGTATATGCGAGTTGGTGTTGGTAGGTTCCCTCTTGTACTGTAGATGACAACCAGCGAGGAGTCACAAGCAGAACAGATCATTCCACCTTCCCTCTGGGGTCACAGCAGGGCATCAGGCATGAAGTCCAGACAAACTAAGTGAAAAAACAGTATCTTAGAATGAAACAAATGATTGGGCAGCTTTCCATTTCTGTGTATGTCATTTTGGAAGAGAAAGCCAAGTTATTCTGTGCAGGCATATCCAAAGAGGCAAAGCAAAGCAAAGCAAAGCAAAAACATGTGGCGCCCTAGGACTATTATATTTTAATGTAAACTTTTGAGGACACGTCTACTTTGTCAGACAGATGGAAAAAGAATGAAATGTTGAATGAAATATCAGTTTCATACTAAATATTCCCTGGGTTTTGGATGTATGTTACATTTACATGCAGTAATTTGTGGCTTATGTTGTTTTAGGGCTCTGTTGTAAACGTTTATCAGAAGACAAAAAACAGACACCAGGTCTGGGCAAAGATGGGGGAGAGAGAATTGAGAGGAGGGGTGGGGGTTGGAGACTGGAGATTCATTTAAAATTCAGGAGAAAAAGGGAAAGGATGCATCCTGTTAGGGACTTGACAGGCTGAGATTTCAACTGTTATCACTGGCAAGAGGGAGCAACGTCACAGTGTGTCTCAACATCCCGTGTGGGGATCAAAGATTTTCAATATATGTAACATATTTCAGGAGTAGTTTTACCAGTGTTTCCCCCACTTGAGTTGGACACAGGATGTTTTCTGCAGTGGTTTACCATTCCCTTTAGTGGTGCTTCACGCAGGCAGGGCAGCCAATGAACATAATTCAGGTGAGTAACAGATGTACGGTCGGCAGCAAGCATGTTGCCAAAAGGCATTTGCAGAGCAAATGTGCAAAAGACAACGTCAAACACTGAGTCACACTGAACATATTTTCTTCCTGGATAGACACATTCTCCAACTAGTTTAATAAATATTGTTTTGAGCTGCATTGAAACAGTTGTGAAATGCAAAACCTGGTGAGTCACTTCAACTCCAATTTTCACCGTCATCTGGGATTGTGTGTGTGTAGTGTGCCATCAAGCTGGAACTGATTTACAGCAACCCTAATAGGGCTTCC